CTGTCCCTGGCATGAGTTTTAAGTTGCTGGGTCCGAGACTTGAACTGTGGTCAGCTACGTGGGAGTCCAATGATGTAACCATTATACCATGTGCTGGTCCCTGTTGGTATCTTTTGAGAGAAAGCAAGATGGCTGGCATAGTTTAACCTAGTATGAGCTCATGTTGCTCTTGAATGGACAGGACAGGGTAAATAAGGGACATCTCCCACTGTGCCTACACCCTGTGCATTCCCATTCTCAGGTCAAGGCAGAACTCCAGGCCCACCTTAAATATTACAGGAGGCAGGAAAGAATAACTTCAAACTGAACTGGGTGACTGAATTTTAATATAGAAGTTGCAGTTAGGGTAGATAGATGAGCTTAACATAATTCCCAAGTTGTCCTAGTAGTAATCCTTTTTTATATATGTAATTAAATATTTTCATGGGTCAGAGAAATTTATACTGTAAGTTTTCTCTTTCCAAGTTTGATTAAATGTTATGGCCATGGAGCTAGTTTGATTAAATGTTATGACCATGGAGCTAGCAGGTGATGGAGCAGTTAAGGTGCTGGATTCCCACATGGCTGACCATGGTTCAAGTCCTGAACATGGCACCTTGAAAATCACCCTGGGTGTGTGTGTGTGCGTGCCCAAAATTCCTGAGAGAAAAAAGAAGGGATTGTGATGGGGCCATCTTCCCGGGGCATGATTTCACTTTCTCTCTCATAGTCTCCCCAGTGAGCACACCCTCTATGACAAAAATGTATTTAAAAAAAACAAAAAGGCATGGCCATATACATTTTTTCCATTTACACAAAAGACAAAATGTAGATGTTGGGCCAGTTAGGCGGCAGAGCGGTTAAGTTGGCTAGATCCCACATGGCCAACTTGTGTAGTTTGTGTCCCGGATCTTGAAAAAGCACATCAGCCATGTGTGTATGTGTGTCCAAACTCCCAAAAAGGAAGGAGAAATGAAATGATGGTGGTGTGACCATTCCCCATAGGGATGCTTTTTTACTTTTCCCCTTTTTTTACTTTCCCCTTTTTTCTCTTTTTCTAGTAAGCACATGTGTTTTGTAACAGATTTTAAAAAATGTAGACCTCAATACAATACAGTCATCTCTGGCCTCTGTGAGCTAGATGAAGGGAAATACGCTTTTGGTCAGCGCGAGGAGCATGCTGTCTCCACAGCTGGCTGAGATCACGGCACCCCCACAGCTGGTATGGGTGCTGCCAGTGGTCTGGCCCCCTTCCTGGAAGTGCCACAGCCGGCCAGTCTCACAGCCACCAGAGATCTTCGTCCTCACTGCCTTCGTACTGCTCACTTAGGATCCTTTTAGGGGAGGAGAGTACAAGGGGCTTAAAGACAGCACCTTCCTGGCCTGGGCACTTCCACACTTAGGATGAGTCATTTCTAAACAGCCTCGTTTTTTCCTTTGCAGACTGTGTTGAAAAGTGGTGTCATGATTACTTCCTTAACTGTTCTGCACTCAGGATGGCAGATGTTATCCGAGCTGAACTCTTAGAAATTATCAAGCGAATCGAGCTTCCCTATGCAGAACCTGCTTTTGGCTCCAAGGAAAACACTCTGAACATAAAGAAAGCTCTTCTGTCCGGTTACTTTATGCAGGTGAGAAGGGGCAGGTCTACTTAGCATGAGCTTCCCTGAATTTTACATGTGCAGGATATTCTGCCAGCAATCTCACTTAGGACGATGATTTAAGTTAAATTTAACTGATAATACCAATGCCCATCCAATAAAAATACTGTCTCATTTGTTTCCTACATTGAAGGTCGATTAATGTAGCTCCTTTAAATTAACAGTGCAGAAGTAGTATGCTTTTAGATGGGCTTTTCACATCACAGTACGAGAAATGTGCTATTTCCACATGGCAAACTCTACAGCTAACTTAATGGAGAAAAATGACATTTTGGAACTGATTTCCTCATCTGTTCGGTACCTACATCACAATGTTATTGTTGAGGATTGAGTTAAATAAAACATGTATAAAGCACTTGACAGTTGAGTATATATAGTCTATGGTACAGCAGATAACACGCTTAGTTTTATTTCATGACCAGAACACCATCCTGCAGCTGAACTTTTGTAGCATACTGGCCTTAAAATGCTGTAGCTAACATCATTACTATTTCAAATTTTCAGGTAAAACATGCCTATAACTTATTTTGTACATCTGAAAATGAGAAATATAGCTAGCAAATTTTATCTATTCTGGGTGAAATACTTTGGAATCTTTTCAGCAAACATTTTTGTTTATTGATCTATACACACATACTTTTATTTTTCGCTTTATTCATGATCACAAGTGCACACGAGAGAAAGAGGAGCACCCACCACAGGGCGTGGTGACACCGTGATCCCCTTCTTCTAGTTCTCTGCCCTGGTGGTTCTTGGGCACTCATGCGCATACCTGGCATGTTTCAGGCTGACTAGGCGAGGGATTCAAACCAAGGTTACCAACTGGTGCCTAGCTTCCCTTGAGCAGTGCACTACCCTGTGCCATGATTGGCCCTACTGATTTCTATATTAATGCTGAATCTTTTTTCTTGAAAACTCTTAGATTGCTCGGGATGTCGATGGATCAGGTAACTACTTAATGCTAACACATAAACAAGTCGCTCAGCTGCATCCCCTGTCTGGTTACTCTGTCACCAAGAAGATGCCCGAGTGGGTCCTCTTCCATAAATTCAGCATATCTGAGAACAACTACATCAGGATTACCTCAGAAATCTCTCCTGAACTGTAAGTTTCATGGAGATAAAAGTAGTCTCTTTTGAATTCGTACTTGTGGGAATAACCAAGTTTGGTTCTTACTCCATTTTGTTGTAAGAAGTTTACACTGGTACCAGTCTTAATTTATCAAGCGTTACCTACTCAAGGGAGGTTTCCATATCTAAGAAATATTTCTGGTCTTTCAAGTGATTAGAACATAAAGAGAGAAGACAGTATAGAATATACAACAAGCATGATATCTTGTCTTTTATTAGTTTTTTTTTTTTTTTCAATTGTCAAGAGTATGTGCCCTTAACCAGCAGTTAGCGTAATGGCTATGTCGCTGGACTCCCACGTAGTCGACCGCGGTTCGTGTCCCGGACCCGGTGGCTTAAAACTCACGCTGGGCGGGTGCGTGCGTGCCCAAGATCCCGAGAGGAGAATGGAGAAGGGATTGTGGCGTGACCATCCCCCCTGGGGGGTGATTTCTCGCTTTCTGTCTCTATGTCTCTCTCTGTCTGTCTGGCGAGCGCACGCGCCCTACAGTGAAAATCTCTCCAAAAAAAAAAAAATAAAGAGTATGTGCCCTTAAGAGAAAGCACTCTCCCAAGGGAGGGGGGGGGCACAGGGGGGTTCACACTGCAGTCCCTACTTCACTTCTCTACCACATTGGAATTTTAGGTACTCAACCCAGTGTGTTGATAAATCTTTTAAGAGAAACAAGGGAACCAGCAGTTAGCGTAATGGCTATGTCGCTGGACTCCCATGTAGTCGACCGCGGTTCGCGTCCCGGACCTGGTGGCTTAAAACTCATGCCAGGAGCATGTGCGTGCATGCTCAAGACCCCGAGAGGAGAAAGGAGGAGAAGGGATTGCAGTGTGACCATCCCCCCTGGGGGGTGATTTCTCGCTTTCTGTCTCTCTCTGTCTGTCTGGCGAACACACGCGCCCTATAGCGAAAATCTCTCCAAAAAAAAAAAAAAAGAGAGAAACAAAACACTAGAGAAATGAAACACTAGAGAAATGTACTGCCCACATGTGCAGACCTTGAGAAGTGAGCTTACCCATCTTTCAGGAACACAGAAGCCACTGCAACTGAACTAGCATAGAAGGGGACAAGACAAGCAGACATCTAAGAGTGCTGGGTTTGCAGGTCACGTGAAGAATTTGGGCTTTATCCTAAGTGTGGTACGCAGCAGTCAGAGTTTCAAGCAAGAGTGACATCCTTTATGTACTTTTAAATATAACTGTGGTTACTAACGGACAGGAAAGCCAAAAGTAAGGATGGAGACTCGTCTCTGAGAGGCTAATGCAACGTCTAGATCCATTTTGAAGGTACCAGTATTGCTCGGGCAGAGTGGTATTCAAGGCAGCAACTAAGAGTAATTCATAGGTATCTAGCTTAAGCAAGTGGATGCAAGTGGTACTGGTTAAGATGAGAAATAGGCAAAGATACTCCTTCTATGTGCACCCAGAGTCTTTGCCAAGGATATAATTTGGCCCCTCTTATATGGAGGTGAACCTTAGGATAGGCAATAGTTTCTACCAGTGGTTAGTGGTGAGCAGCACTTTAATTATATGCCATAACACTACAGAAGTCAAGTTATTTAGCAATACAGTTGGATTAGTTAAATGAAAACCAGAAAGTACTTATTCTACAAAGACTGAGAAACTGACAAGTTTAAATTAAATACCAGTTCTACAAGTAGATTCTCCAGAACCAGGAAAGTGCCCCAGACATAGTATTTGGTATCTTTCACACTATCCCCTTCTCTAAAAATATCTATTATTTTTTGTTGTTGTTGTTTTAAACAGGTTTATGCAACTGGCACCCCAATACTATTTCAGTAATCTGCCTCCTAGTGAAAGTAAAGATATTCTACAGCAAGTAATGGATCACCTGTCTCCCATTTCAACAATGAAAAAGGAACAGAAAATGTGTGAGACGTGCCCTGAAACTACTGAGCAGAGATGTACTATTCAGTAATTTCCCCCCAAACACGAGGTGCAATAAGGACCCCAAAGTTAGGCTAACAGTTGGCCTGTTGGATTGATGTGCAGATAGTTAATGCAAAGACAGATATCACATCCCCATGCATAGTCTTAAAAAAGAAATAACACTTTGTATATTATTTTAAAATAAAAAATAGAAATTTTTATTGAGTTCTTTAAATTACTGCATGTTTTTCTATGTATTGGAAAAGTTTTTAATCAACCATGCGTAATTTGACCAAAATTTAAAAAGCTGTATTTTGTAAATGTGTCACAGACACATGGGACAAATGTTACTTTTTGTAGAGGACCTCAATCTGAATAAAGTCACGAGATTTTCAGTAAGTCTTCACTGAATTTTCTGGTAATTCTATAAAGCAAGCCCATCAGTACCCACAGGGAATGGGTCAGACAGATAGGTGTTCTTTCAGCTTGTCCATGATTTCGTTCATCCTTTCGCCTGGAATCAGCATCACAGTTCGCAAAGGCTTCATGGGTACATCGTCAAAGGACCATCTGCCTCCTAGACAAGTGTCGCTCTCCTCCTGCACTGAGTAGCTGAACTTCAGAATCGCCTTCTAAACCAAAATGAATAACCAGGAATTAAAAATACAGACAACCCCAGTGAAAACTCATTTAACCTCTAACAAAGGATACTGTGTTTGACATATGTTTAAATATTAATATCGGCTAACAAAGCAAAACTGATGGGACCAGCAGTTGGCATAATCGTTACGTCGCTGGGCTCACACTAGTTGACCGCAAGTTGAGTCCTGGACTTGGTAGCTTCAAATTCACACCAGACACATGTGTTGCATGAGTGCCCAAAATGCTGAGAGGAGAATGGAGAAGGGATTACGGCATGGCCATCCTCCCTGGGGGGCGATTTCTCGCTTTCTGTTTCTCTGTCTGTCTCTCTGGGGAACGCACAGGCCCTATAACAAAAATCTCTCTTAAAAAAAAAAAAAAGAAGCAAAACTGAAAATAAACTCAAAAAGACCATTCAGGCAGAAGCTATAAAACACTCACCAAAGAGGTTTTTAACCCTCATGAAGAACATGGATCAAAGCATGCCATTTCTAAGAGGTGAACAAATAGCTACATGATATTAGTACTGCCATCCATTTATATATGCAGTTTATAATTCCACAGTCATTCGTGCTTATAATCTTACTTGATTATCAAGAGTCTTATAATAGACAAGTTAAATGAAGACTCATAACATGTGACAAGAAGAACTGGTCTTCAAACCTGGTCTTTTCCGACTTTCCCAGCTACTCCTTAGCATAAGCTGTGGTGTAAACATAGAGTAAGTCTGCATAATCAGGCCACTATACTTCCCTGAAATGGTCTGCCCACAGTGCTGAGGTTTTTGGTTTTTTAAAACTTTATTTCCTAGAAAACAAGAGCTAAGCTGGATCTGTAGTGCTTTCAGTTTTAATGGAAGACTTTCAAGTAGTAAGTGATATCATCCAATTCAGGGAAGTATGTTCCCTACCTCCTCCCCCTCCTAACCTCCCTACCAGCAGAGATGTATTTCAAGATTTTTAAGAGGAAGAGAGTGTGATAAAGAATATTCTCTAGTATTTGGTTGTCTATCACAGTGAACGTTACCTCACAGGAAGCAATCCCACCAATGGGATGACATATACACAACCAAGGGCACGACACACAGGGGTACCCCAGTTCTTAAACTGACCAGCTATGTGATCTCAGATGAGTTCCCTAATTCTCCTGAGATTTAATGTCCATATCTATAAATGCAAGCTATTTCTACCTCACAGTGTGGTTTCAGAATTAAAGGCCTCAGGAAAGTATATAAATGTCTAATCATTTGCAGCAATGTAATTGCTCTGTTCTCCACACTATGCACCAACGATGGAGATGGGGAGGCTGTTGAACAGCCTTCTGAGTACCTACTGTGTGCAAGACACCATGTTACTTTGTTAGCTGCTAGCTACTAGGGACACAGAGATACAGAATGGCTGCACTCAAAGGACTCTGACACAGAGTACAATAAATCTTGATTCAAAAACTACTTACATCTAAACAAATAGATGAAAACATGGTAGTCTTACCTCACAGAAAAATTCTTCCTCTGCATTTGCAAACATTAACTCATCTTTCTTTTGGATGTTCCTTTTTTTTTTGGAGTTGTTTATTCCAGCTTCCACAAACGTCTTGCTAATCAGAAGGTAAAAGTAGCACTTCCCACATGGCTTATTAGTTTTGTGTGCTTCTGTTAGTTCTTTCCTACAAGGCATACACACGGAATGTTTTATCTGCTGGGTTAGGTGGACTCCAGCAACAAACCAGAGCACAGAGAAAAGCAGTGAGACACCTTCAATGTGTTTTGCTGTGACTTAGACTTAAAGAACATGCATCCAATCTGGATGCTTCTATAGCAATGTTTTTTTACTTAGTTGGTTGTACCTCAGATTGATTATAGCACTGCTCTTTATGATAGATTGCATGATGAATCTCAGATTATGTATGCCCTGAGATATGGATAGGGAGCAACTATATGAGTCTCAGATTTATTTAATAACATCCTGCTCTGTCTATGCAGAAGTTGAAAATATTTAAGAATTTAATTTTTTCAAAGCAAACATTTAACCAAAATACACAAAGGCATACAGCCACAACCAATGCTACTACAGCATGTGACTGCTACTGTAGTCACTAAAGAGGACTAATTTCTGACGTACTACAGAAGTTGCAAGAACTAGTCCACAGAATGGCAATGAAATCTTTTTTTTTTCCTTCTAGTATTACACATAGCTCTATGTATCTGGCTGTCGCCAAACAAAAATAAATAGAAACTCAGAACTATCCACTTCAGCTTTCTTTTAATAGAGGATCAGGGCTGGCCCTGTGTCCCAGTGTTTTGAATCCCAGTCCTGGCAGCTTGAAAACATGCCAAAAACATATACACACACCAAATCCCAACAGAATGGAGAAAAGGAGGAGAAGGGACTGTGGCCCCTTTGGGGGCTGCCTTCTCCCTCTCCATCTCCTCTGTCTCTATCTGTCAAGTACATGTGCCTTCTGGCAGGCAGGGAAAAAAGAAAGGATGAAAAGAAAGCAAATGACTCTCCTATGAAACCAAATAAACATGAGCTCCGCTGATCCGGGGGGAAAAAAAAGAAAAAAAAAAAAACACCTTATTGCACCAGAAGCACAATCTGAACCCTAGCAGAAAAGATGGAAAGCAGTCAAATGAGTAAAACTGAAAAGCAGAATGGAAAATGGCACACCTAAAGGTTTCCAGAGTACAGTTAGAGTCCCACGGTCCCACAGGTATCTAAAGGGAAACTGCAACACGATGCTGCGACTTCTGAGAAGTAATATTCTGTAAAGGCCCTGTCTCCATTTCTTCCCCTGGGGGTGATTTCTCACTTTCTCAATCCAGCACATATGCCCTATGGCAAAATTAAAAAGCACAGGACATACCATTTTTAGTTCACTCAGTTCAGTTTACTAGAGACTTCCACACCTCTTCTTATATTTGAGATATTTTTATAAGCTCCTACATTAAGAAACAAAATGGGCCAGCAGATGGCATGGTAGTTAAGGTGCTAGATTTCCACATGGCTCACCACGGCTTAAGTCCCTGACCTGGCGGCTTGAAAAATCACAGCAGGCACATGTGCATGTGTGCCCAAGATCCTGGAAGAATGGAGTAGAAGAGATTGCAGTGTGGCCAACCCTTCCTGGGGAGGGGGTGATCTCTCACTTTCCTTTTTACTGTCTCTGTCTCTCTCTCTGGGGAGTGCACACACCCTAAGACAAAAAAATTCTTAAAGAAAAAGAAATTGCACCAGGAGCATGTGCATGTGTGCCAAAGAAACTGCACCAGCAGCATGTGCATGTGTGCCCAAAGTCCCAGAAGGAGAATGGAGAAGAGACTGCCATCCTCCCTGGGGAATGATTTCTCACTTTTCCTCTCCCTGTCTCTAGTGAGCATACATATGGCAAAAATCTTTAAAAAAGAAAAAAATCTTCAAGAAGCCAGAAACACTGTGTCAGAACTGTGAATTCATTAGCTATAAAACATACCAATAGATTTTAGGAATTTTACTGTTACTCCTGCTCAACATTTTTTTTTTTTTGAGTTATAGAAATTTGTTAAAAAAAAAAAAAAGAGAAACCCTCAATGGGGTAAAAAGTCTCTATGAAATTCATTCTACTTTTATACCATTTATACCTTTAAGATCATTAGGATTATGACAAATAAAACTTCAAGAAAGCCCAGTATTAATTACATATGCACCTCATAGGATGTTTCTTCATTTTCCTCACAATAACCACATTTTCCTCACTTAACCACATGTAGAACTCTTTTTATCTACATATTTCATTTAAATCACATTTCTGAACCTTCCTAGAAAAAAAATTACTGTTCAAAGGCATTTTCCAAAGTCTCTCACTGAAGTTGCTGATGCATGGGCAGAGCGATCTGTGGAGGGACATTGATGAATCTTTCACTGAGGAGAAAGCCTACGGGCTTGGTAGTGTCATTTAAAACCTTGTCCAGTTGTTCAACCATGCTCTTTTCACAGTTCTTCTCACAACAGCTTAGAATCAACTCCTTTATTTGTTCAGCACACTGGGTACCCTAGAAGCAAAGAGAAAGCCATTGCTTATAGGAAAAAACTTAAAAAGTGAAAGTTACCACTTTATCTTAGGGGTAGGGCAAAAGAAACTCAGAACTATTCATGTCAGCTTTCTTTTAACAGAGGATCAGAGGAATAAAGCTCTTACCACAGCCTTTAAAATCGTGTACATTTTCAGTATATCGGATTGCTTAAGTATTTCTCAAAGTAACTATACCTGGTTATTTACTATCCCATGATCAATGGTATGAGAGGGTTATAAATAATGCTCAAAAAATGCTGGAATAGCCACTCTAGTCCACCTCATAAAGACAGAAGTGTAAAATTCACTTGAAAATTAAAGGTTAAGTAAAGCCTGCATCACCTTTTGCGAAGGATAAGCGGCTGGTTTACTTTTTACCAGAACTCATCAGCAAGTCTATAAAGGAGATGAATCAGAACACCAGTAAACGCTAGTTCAGAAAGCAGCGAAGCCTCAAACAGTCACACTAAGCAAGTAGCAAAGAAAACAGCTGCAGGGACACATCATCGGTAGCTCCCGTGCCAATCCCAACATGAGTGACTGAACGGTCAGGCAATTCTCCACAGCTCGGGGCATAAATAACTTTAACTGGTACAGAGTACTCAAATAACACAGTACCACCTTCCTAATGAAAAGGGTTACAATAAGATTTCATTAGAGTACACATCCTTATAATTAATATCATTACCTGACATAAAAGACACTTTCGTCATGCATTAAAACGAAAGTAACCCATTTAGATACCACTCGGAGAACCCACCTTTTTTTCGGTTAAATTTAAAAGGCTTATGAAACCAAAAATTTCATCTTCATCCATATCATCATCGCTGTCTTCTGAAACATTCGTTTGCTATTTAAAAAAGAAAAACATATAAAAAGTTCATATTTGGTTGAGAAGGAGTATACTGCTAAGTCTCAGAACCTAGGTCTCTTTACCTTTTTACTTTTGTAAAGCAAAACCAGGGACGAGCAGATGGAGTAATGATTACATCACTGGACTCCCATGTAATCGACCACGGTTGGAGATCCAGACCCAGTAGCTTAAAACTCATGCTGGATGTGTGTGCATGCTCCCAAAATCTCAAGAGGAGAATGGAAAAGGACTGCAGTGTGGCCATCCCCACTGGGCGGAGGCGGGGGATGATTTCATTTTTGTGTACACTAAGTAGCATGTTACCTGGCCCACATCCTCTCACCTCCCTAGGCTCTGTTCCTCCTTTTACATTCTGGATAAGATCATCCTGCTCTAAATTTTTTTCCTTCTTTTTTCCTTATGTCAAAAAAAATTGAATTTAAAAAAAATTTTTTTAAAGAATTATTTATTTAATTCTATTTGTTATAATTATTATTTTAATTTAACCAAAGAGAGAGAGAGAGAGAGAGGGAAAGTAAGAAAGCAAGCCTCCAGGCCGAGGTCTCAAAGCAAGCCTCCAGGTCCAGGACTCAAACTGTGGTCAGCTATGTGGGAATCCAGCGCCCGTAACCACCACACCATCTGCCAACTCTTTAAAAAAATTTTTTTTTAAATTATACTCCCTGGAGAGAGAGAGAAAGAGAGAGAGAGAGAGAAATAATGCATCCCCCAATGGGACCTGTTCATGCTGCAATCTCTTTTCCTCCATTCCTTTAGGATCAGGAGCACATACACGTGTCCACTTTTCTTCACGCCACTGTGGCTGGGATTCAAACCAGTCAGCCAAGTGGGATCTGATTCTTATGCATAGCACTTAACTACTGTGCTAAGTAAGGGCCCGACCCCTAAATATTTAAGACATTTTCCTTTACCATATTCACAATATATAGTATCGTGAATCCAGAAGTAAAAACCTCATGAAATAAAGCATTTTAATTTGCTTTCTAAATGATTTGGCTGGAGTCTGCTCTTGCTTCTCTGCTGGCTCACACTGTTTCTCCTGTAACTCCTGATTCCAGAGCACTTGCCAATCCTGATCACTGGTGAAGTTAAACAAGGCTAAGTGCCATTCATGACGACCAGATGAGCAGGAGAGAACTAAAAAAGCAAGACAGGAAATGACAAATTAAGAAACTAGGATTAAGAATGAAATGGCTGGCTCCAACTTGAACTTCCTGGCTCTACTCGGATGGCCCTTCTACTCAGAAACCTCGATGCATTGTCCTCATTTCTTCTTTCACCTGCTGCCTATTTGCTCATCCAATTCGTAAACACTTCTCTGATTTCATCCCCAGCAGCCAGCATGGAGCCTGGCACAGAGCATGTGCTGAGTGAATGAAGTGAAAGAAGGCTGTTGCTTTTACACCGAAAGAAAGCAGGGATCTACAACTACCCCACAATTCCTCAAACCCGTTGTGGTGAGAACTGTCTTAAAAAGTTCCCGCATATCCTTCAGCACCATTAGTTCAGTTAGGTTAGGTGCTGTCTCTGACCCTCAGGAGGCAGGATGTTTACAGCTTTGAGGCGCTCCTAAGACCTCGGGTCACAGGGTAGAGCAGGTACAAGTGACAGCAGGGAGCAGGGAGTGGAAGCAGACCAGAGCCTGAGGAAAGGCCTGTGCACACTCTAAAGCAGCAAGGACTCTAAACCGACAATGCCCCTGGGAAGGAAGCTTAGGCAAAGGAGTTCCCCAAGTAGTTACTTGGCTTTAAAACAAGCAAAGCAGGACCAGGAGAGGGCATAATGGTTACATTGCTCGACTCCCACATAGTTGACCATGGTTTGAGTCCCAGAACCAGCTTAAAACTCAGGCTTGGCACGTGCGCATGTATGCCCAAAATCCCAAGAGGAGAAGGGACTGTGGCATGGCCATCCCCCAGGGATTGACATCTCACTTTCTGTCTCTCTGGCAAGCGTACACACCCTATAGCAAAAATCTCTCTTAAAAAAAAAAAATCAAAGCAAAACATGTCTGTTAAATCTGCATGTTACAGCGCAACAGTTCCTACCTGTTGGAACGAGGATGGAAGTAGCTTAGGTGTGGTGTCAAAGGCATAGGCAACTAACTATGTTCCAAGATGACAAAAGTCCTAAGTTCAACAAAAGAAGATGATATGAAAGTAAAGAATGAGAAGGTAATCATGAGGAGACTGTATCAGTGAGAGGACCAAGGGCATGTTTGGTCATGAAGGAGAAAGGGAAAAGGAGTCCAGAAAAAGAGTAATAGATAAACCAGCAAGGCCCCCAAGATCAAAATTCTATAGTTTCTCTACACTTCAAGGATGCTTAGCTACTGTGCCAAATCTATGAGGTAATGACAGACCAAGGGAAATTAAGGTTATCCAAGAAATGGTTACTTGATTATAAACAGCATTTCCCAGAATACTTCCAATTGTCTTCTCCCCAATACGGGCCCTGTCAATCATCTCGGCAGGGTCACACACGGTCTGTCTTCCCGTAGGTCTGGAGTCACCATCACATCTACAGCTGTCTCCCCAGTAAGAGCTCTCCCTAGTTGGCTCATTTCCCTGCCTATCAAAATAATAACTCCTAGCCCATCCCACCTGGCCCTTACCCTCTAAAGCTTCTTCATTCAACCCAATTTTTTTTATTCAATACCGTAGTGTTAAGTATTCATTGCAAGCGAAAATTCAGTAACATCTCGCCCCTAAATTTCTAGCTTCTCTATCCAACTGATGCTTATGCCCTTTTCTCTCAGCTCTAGAGACTGTCTTCTATAGACGTTTCAAATCTCTCCAATCCCAATGGCTCCAGCAAATGGTCTGGGCAGTCCCTCTCATGGGAACAAGAAGTCTGTGTCCTTGGGACACCTGAAGCATCTCTGTGGAAGTCAAAGAAGTCATAGTCATAACAATAGACCTATCTGTGTGATTATCCATTTAAATGGTCAATTCTACCATTAGATCAGCTCCTTCAAGAAAAAAACCACCGGGGGGCCTGACAGTGGCACAGTGGTAAAATATAACACTATGTGAGGCTGACCCACATGGGAAGGTTCTGGGTTCTGGCGTTCTCCCTGAATGCACCAGACACACACACACCCATCATCCAGGGCTGGCTGAAAATGGCGGTGAGCTGTAGCATGAATAGCCTGTCTCAGATGCTCTCTATTTCTCTTGCTCATGGAAGAAAGGGGCCTGACAGTGGCACAGTGGTAAAATATAACACTATGTGAGGCTGACCCACATGGGAAGGTTCTGGGTTCTGGCGTTCTCCCTGAATGCACCAGACACACACACACCCATCATCCAGGGCTGGCTGAAAATGGCGGTGAGCTGTAGCATGAATAGCCTGTCTCAGATGCTCTCTATTTCTCTTGCTCATGGAAGAAATAAACTTTTTAGAGATGCTGTCTATTTCTCTTGCTCATGGAAGAAATAAACTTTTTAGAAAAGAATTAAAAACAACTGTTTTTTTTAGGCCAGCAGGTGGCATGGAGGTTAAGGTGGCTGGATCCCAGATGGCCGACTGCATAGTTTAAGTCCAGGAATCGGCAGCTTGAAAATCACACTAGATACATGTGTATACATACCCAAAATCCAGAGAGGAGAACGTAGAAGGCACTGCAATATGGCCACCCCATTTCTCACTGCCCACTGTCCCGTCCCTCTGGTGAATACACGTGCCTTATAGCAAAACTAAAAACACAATCAAACAACTGCTTCTCATACACACCCATCAGGTCTTATGACACTAATCAGCTACAGATCTGTTCGTGTGATGAAAGAGCAGGTGGTCTGCTTTCTCCAGTGCCCGAGTAAAAGCAATGTACCATATGTTTTCTTTTGTTACCTTTACTTTTAGTGCCATGAGGCTACTAATGTCAGAAGCGCCAAAAAGTGTCCACTATATATTTAGTTAGTAAAGATAATGGCGACCCTATCATTCAGTGTCAGAATTTAAGTGGTGTAAAACCCAGATTAGGGTGGTGTAGTGGTTACATCACTGGACTCCTACATGGCTGACTGTGGTTTGAGCCCTGGACCCAGTGGTGTAAAAATCATGCTGAGTGAATGTGACCAAGATTACAAGAGGACAATGGAGTGTGGCCATACCTCCTGGGGAGTGATTTCTCACTTTCCCTCTCACCATCTCTGTTTTTCTCTCCAGGGAGTACACTCACCCTATGACAAAACCTCTAAAAAAAACCATTCAGACTAGGGTGTTTGAGAAATGAATAGGAAGAATGGAGGTGGAGACCATGAATAAGACTACTTTTTAAGAATTATGGCTTTGAAAACAGTGAGCTAGATGGCTGAAAGTAAGGTAGAGTGGAACATTAGGCTGAAATGGAGTTTTTATTTGTTTGGCTTTTCATGACAGCTTAGACAACAGATGCTAGGAACAGGAAACAGACAGCAACAGTGATGGTCACACATACATAGCACTTGCTCTAGGTCAGGCACTGTTTGAAGCACTTGGCAACTCATTTCGTCCACATACCAGGCAGATACTAGTATCGTTTCCATTTTTAGAGTTAGAAACGGAGACAGATTAAGGTAACTGTGGCAGACTACATCTCCCATCCGAAATTCTCTTTAGTCTGAGTGACCACGACATTCCTTCTATCAAGTAGTGGGGTTTATATGCCCTCCTCTGGGTAAAACTCTGTGTCTGTGCTTGATCAAGCAAATGAAAATGACACTGTATCATAAGATGCTATGTATTGGGACCAGCATATAGCTTAATGGTTATGTTGCTAGACTCCCATGTAGTGGTTCAAGTCCCAGACCTGGTGGCTTGAAACTCATATTGGGCACAAGTGCATGCATGCCCAAAATCCCGAGAGAATGGAGGAGAAGGGATTGTGGTATGGTCATTCCCGAGGGGGTGATTTCTCGCTTTCTATCCATTTGTCTCTCCAGAGAACATATGTACCCTATAGCAAAAACCTCTCTCACTCTCAAAAAAAAAAAAGATACTATATATTTTTACTATATATTTCTATTCTCTTGGGCCATTGCTTCTAAGAACCAAACCACATGGAGAGGAACCAAGGACCCTGTCTCTGAGTCCTCGCTGAGCTCCTAAACACCTGTCAGCATTAACTTCCCAATAATGTGAGTGAACCACCTTATAGGTGAATCCTCTAGCCCTCACCTGAGCCTCAACAGGTAATGTGACACAGACCGAGAGCAGAGATGAGTGGTGCCCGCTGAGCTCTGTCCCGATTACAAATCCACACGCCAAACCGATGACTATTACTGTTCTAGGACACTAAGCATGGGGTAGTTTGCAGGTGACATGCACAGAACCAGGATCCAAGCCAGTCCTCAGTGTGTTGGACCCTCTACCATATCTACCATGATGACAGTTTACTCTCTCAAATGTTCTCTCCCTCTGCTTTGCAGGATACCACTCTGCTGCTGTTTCTTCTAACTTCCCTAGTCACTTCTTTCGATCTCCTTTGCTGGCTCTGCCACTTATTTTACTCATCCAAGTACGGTTGGTATTACCAGGATGTCTGCCTCTTACCTGGGCAACCCCAACCACTTTCATAACGTCAATGACTATTTGCCTGTCAAAAACTCCCAAGTCCATGGGCTCCTGCTGCTGCGCATACATCTAATTTGTATGTGTCACAGGTTGTTCAAAACAAAACATACAAATCCAAACTTGTATTCCTCCTCTTTTTTTTCCTTAAGAATTTTTTTGCCTTTGTGTGTTTGTTGGAAGAGAGGAAGAGAGACAGAGATAGTGAGAAGGCAATTAAGAAATCAGCCCCCAGCGGGATGACCACACCACAGTCCTTTTTCCTCCATTCTCCTCCTGGGATCTTGGGCATGCATGCACACATGCCCGGTGTGATTTTCAAGGCGCTAGGTCTGAGACTCAAACCGTGCTTGGTCATGTGGGAGTCCAACAATGTAACAGCTATGTCATCTGCTAGCTCCCATAATCCTCCTCTTAACCTGATTTTTCTCTGTGTTTCCTTGGTTGCTCAAGCCAGAAACCTGGGAGTCATCGTTGACCCCATTTTTCTGCCACTCTCAGACCCCATGACATACTAAGCCCCATCATATTTCATCTCCCAAACATGTGGGTCAGCTCCCTTCTCTCCCTCTCCATTGCCACTGTGTGGATTATACATCTAATAATCCCCGATCGCTGCACCAGCTTTCTGACTACTCTCCCTTCCTCAAGTGATACTGCCTCCCAGTCGGAGCTGAACAGGATAGAGAACTCATTTAATCAGAATAAGCATAGTTGTCCTATTTACCTTAATCACACTCCCAATATGGTTCTGTTGAATTAAGAGATCTGTTAGCTCTGCAATGTTCACAGGAGCCTTTAGGAAAAGCTAAAGTGAGACAAAAAAAAAAAAAATCTTTTTAATTAAGATCAAAGCAGGATGTCTGATCAAACTTCGAATTCTACATTCAAATAAAAATAATGCAATTTCAATAACTTGACCAAAAAGATGACCAAGAAAAGCAATCTCAAGATTAAAAGAAAAGCCCAGCAGAGTCAAAGAAGCTAAAAGTTAGGGAACTTCAGAGAAGAGGTAGTCAGTGGTAAGATAGGGGGTATGGGGGAGGGAAAGAAAAAAGAGAAGAAAGATGAGCTTAGGCTGAAGAATTTGGTGGCCAGAGGCTACAAAGGTTAGAGAGCCAGAGTGATCTCACAGAGAGGAGAGGAATAAGCAGAAGCAGCCAGAGCAGGTTTTTTAGCAATGAATGAGCAGTAAGTTACGTGGCTGTTATATAAGAACTGACTTACCCTACCAAGTTTGGAGGGGAATTAGAGAAAACAGAATAGTAGCTCAAGTAATAAGCAGACCAAAGGAAAAATGTTTTAGGACACAAAATAGCAACAGAAGGGATCTAAGAGCACACAAATAAAGGAATGAGGCTGAGAAAAGAAAAACCATTCTTCCTTCAGGGCAAAGTGGAAAGGGGAGAAATGGGAATTTTGAAAGGACAAAATTCAAGAAAGTTTCTGTTCAATGACCTGCAGAAAGTAAAAGGCAATACCTGCTGCAGTAACTTCTTAATTCCGTCATAATCATTATGTGAGATGGAATAAGCTTCAAAGTCAATATTCACTTCCTGTAAATAACACAAAAAATAGGTTGTCATAAAAAGCTTCCTAAGATAATTCAGACATTATTTTCCATTTTGCAGGTTTCCCCCCCATCTACTTCCATTATTTTAGGCTATTTATTCATTTACAGAAGATAGAAAAACAATAAAAAGAAAATGAGGGGCCAGCAGATGGTATAGTGGTTATGTAGCTGGACTCCCACATGGCTGATCACGGTTTGAGTCCCAGACCCAGTGGCTTGAAACTTACCCTGGGTGCGTGTGCAAGCGTGCTCAAGATCCCAAGAGAAGAATGGAGGAGAAGGGACTATGGTGTGGCCATCCTTCCCAGTGGTGATTTCATACTCTCCCTCTCCCTCTGTCTCTTTGTCTCTCTGGCAAGCACATGAGCCCTAAGGCAAAAACCACTTAACAAAAATAAATAAATAAAAATAAAATGGTATCTGAAGAAATGTCGGCTTCAAAGCAGGCTAACATTGGCAAGATTGCCATCTGTGTGGATTACAAAGCACCTCCAAACTGCTTCCCTGTGTTAGACAGAAGTCTGAGAGGATCGAAACACTTGGAGTGACCTAGTTTAAATCTGAGAAAGTCTGGTCCAGTCACAGTAGCCACAAAGGAGAAATTATTATTTACTTGACAGCAGAAAGGATGGACAAAGGACAAAATCATTCTTCAGAAGTCCTTGGAATTGCCAAGAGCTTGATTTATCCCATGATTTTGATGCTATGTTTTACACTCTTGAACATTTAATGGGTCAAGCACTATGCCAGGCACTTGAGATGAAATGGGAGTGAAGCAGACATGAAGGCTCCTGCTCTTGGAAGCTCATAGTTTAAGCAGGAATATAAAGAAAATATTCACAGAGAGGCTGGCAGGTGGCCTTCTGGTTACAGGCGCTAGACTCCCACAGGGCCGACCATGGTTCTAGTCCTGGACTTGGTGGCTTGCTTTTTCACTTTTTGTCTCTCTTGCTCTCTCTCTCTCTGAACCTCTCTGGTCACATTTAAATAATAAATAAAATTTAAAAAAAGAAAATATCCACGGAAATAAACGTAAAATTATAACATGCTATAAAACAAAGGTACATAGTGTAATAGTAACTCAAAAATCAGGAAGTCAGAAAGTTAGGAAAGGATTCCTTAAAGAGGTGAGACTTGGGCTGGGAACTGAGAACAAGTGAAGAGTGTTCCTGGCACAGAGAACAGCACAAGCTAAAGCCCTAAAACAAGAGGAATTATGGTGAGTATAAAAGGCTAGAAGGAGGTATGTGTAACTACGTTTCTATCTCTGCAAAACAACAGAATCTAAGAGATGATGTCACTGAACTATGCCACAAATAAATGAAAGTAGCACTTCATTTCAAAAAAAATAAAATCTGGGTCATCTGGTGGCATGGTGATCAAGGTGGCTGGATCCCACACGGCTGATTGCCATGTGTGAGCAGTCACCCCAGGGGTGGTCACTTCTCAATCCCTTCTCCTCCGTTTCTCCTTTTAGGATTTTGGCCACACGCAAACATGCACACAGTACGTTTTTCAAGCCATCTGGTCCAGGACTCAGACCACACAGTAGTCCATGTCAGAGTCAGCTGCCTTAATCAACATGCCACCAGCTGGCCCGTGATTACTTTAGAATTTATTTAGGGGGCTAGACACTGTAGTACAGTGGTAAAGTGTGAAGATCTGTGAGGCCATCGCACATTGGGAAGTTCCCAGTTTGAGTCCAGAGACCTCCCTGAGCATGGGCTCGCCCATGATTTAAGACTTGCTGAAGACTGAGGGTGGATCATGACGTCAAGACCCTGTGGAGGTTCTCTATATCTCTCTCTCTCTCTTGCTCGTGGAAAAAAACCAAATGCTTATTTGAGATAGAAAGACAGAGAAAGAGAGAGAGAAAGGCTGATTTTTTTTTTTTTTTTTTGACAGCCTCTGGCCAGGTAGGGATCCTCCCAGCTCCTTGGCCGGCTAGGACTGCAGGTATAAGCCGTGGTGTCACCTGTTTTAGGTGAGGCTGGGAATTTAATCTGGACCTCCCACTGACCTCAGTTTCTGAGAAACAGTATCTTAGCAGTGTGAGTCACTGCAGCTGGACCTAGCATGATTACCATTACTCCTGAGTAAATCCTTACAAGTAGAATGACTGAATCAAAGGACGTACACATTTTAAATTTTTTTTTTTGAGAGGTTTTCACTATAAGGCGTGTGCACTCGCCAGACAGACAGAGACATAGAGACAGAAAGCGAGAAATCACCCCCCAGGGGGGATGGTCACACCGCAATCCCTTCTCCTCCATTCTTCTCTCAGGATCTTGGGCATGCACGCACACACGCCCAGCATGAGTTCTAAGCCACCGGGTCCGGGAAGCAAACCACGGTCAACTACATGGGAATCCAGTGACATAGCCATTAAGCTAACTGCTGGTTCCCACATATTTTAAATTTTGATGTTTAACTACTGTCGAATTTCCCTCCATAAAGATGATATCGATTTAGTCTCATCAATGATGATCATTATCCAAACTTTAATGCTTGGCATCTGATAAACTTTTCACATTAATTCAAGGCGCACTGGTTTCTGTACGCCAAAGTTGGCAGAAATAGCCAGTTCTTTAAGTGAGAAATTGTTCAAAGGCACTTAAGACAAGGAGTCAAAGCGCTCATCTCTAATGGAAGACTTACCTTACCCATGCTAGTCTCGCCGTAACTCTGCATCCATACTTGCCTGTATCCTTCCCTCTATGCTCATTCCGACTTACGTTTATCTCTTTTATTTCTCATGACTCTCTCTTGCTTATTCTGATCCAGCCATCCTGGCTGCCTTTCTGTGCCTCAACCATGAGGACTTCAGATTTTCTTATAAATGAAACAGAAAGCCAGTGGAGCACTCTGAGCAAGGAAGTCCAAATAGTCCTAGAAAATCTCTCTGGCTTTAATTGCAGTCGGGGAACAAAACTGGACAAAGGCATGCCAGTTAAAAACTGTCACAGGAGCCCAGGTGACAGACAGTGGAGGTGTGGACTATGATGGTCAGAGAATCAATGATGAGAAGTGTTTGGACACTGAAGTAAAGTTATCAGGATTTACTGATGGAGTAGATGTTGGATAAGGAGAGGGGAAGAATTAAAGTTAACTCCCAGGTTTGAGTAACTGGTTAATTTGGGACCCACTTTCAGAAATGGTGAAGATTAGCAAGGGGACAAGAATGACAAATTTTGTTTTGGGTGAGTTTGAGGTACCTATTTAGACATCCAGTAGTCTTAAGAATCACTCAGTCCAAATTATTCCCTCAACAAATTGGAAGTGCCTATGATGTCAGGGTTTATGGTATTAGCTATTCTGAAGACAAGAACCCAGTTAATTCTATGAGACCATAAAACCAAAGACTCTGACCAGGGCCTGGGTCAGCTGTCCCAGGGAGACGAAAAATACAGCTTAGCTGAGATCTGAACAAGGAAGGAAAAACTATGTAGAATACAGAAGAGAATTTGAGTTCTAATAGGCTGCGAAGGATAGTGGAGGGGGTACAGGAAGATGTTAATTGATGGAAACAAAATCACAAATAAGAACAATACCTAGTAGTATAGAATACAGTTAACAGCATCTCAGAGTAATAGAAAAAGAAGACTCTGAACCGTGACCAACACTGATAGCAATCGGGTGAGATGATGCAGACACTAATTATCCTCATTTAATCATTACACTTTGTATTCTTGCACTGAAAAAAAAATCTCACTGTACCCACATAAATATGTACATTTTTTATATGTTATAGGTTCTATGGCAGAATGGGTCAGGAGGCCTTGAAGACCTGACAGAGGATCCATGTGAGTGAAGCATGCAAAATGAACAAGATGGACAGCTGCTGCAAGGGAGAGAGAGGATGAACTCTGAAGGCCCTCGAAGGTACATTAAGGATCTGGGGCTTTAGGCTGAGAACTAAAGACAGCCACTGAACAACATCGTGGCAGGCTTCTGGAGGTGGTGAGGACAGCCGGGCAGCGGCAGGACTTCACAACGTCATCAGCATGGAAAGCAATGACTGTGTGCGAGAAAGAAAAAGTGAAACCCGAGTAAGCGTGTATCCTCTCGGGTTTCCGCTAGCAGGCCCTCAGAGACAGGGAAGTCATTACTGCTCGCACTCACACCATTTTCACACAGCTCGGTTGCCAAAGTTTTTTTTAATCAAATTGGGGTTTATACCAACCGCCTGTACTTCTCACCTCGTCAACAACCTCATCCTCTTCGTCCTCTTCTTCCTCACTGTCTTCGTCACTGCCTTCGTCCTCATCCTCGTCTTCCTCCTCTTCGCCATCGCGCAGAACCGCAGCCACCGGCGGCGGCAGCACCCCACTCCCCACGGCTCGCCGCTTGGACCTGGACGCCATGCTGCTGCCCACACCGCGCCTGCGCAACTTCCCCACGCCTGCCCTTCCCGACCAACCCAAACTAGCCGAGGGGGCGGGCGAGCGCGAAGAACCTCGGCGCTGAGTCGGCTTTAGCTCCGGTGCCCCTTCTGGAGCCCACGACCGTGATTTCTCAAAGTCAAATCTACCTGTGGGCCCTATATTGGCCTACTTTTCCTGCCTAAAACCTGTTCGGGCCTCACCAGTCCCGCGAGGTAGGTGTCGCCGCCCACGTACCGGTGAACACAACGAGACCCGCGGACCTGCAGGCGCCCGCCGGCAGTCCCTATTTCTATGTGACAAAGTGGGGCCCCCTAGTAGGGGCCTTGGCTGGGATGACCTAGACTGGCTTCACTTGGAAGATCAGCAGATCCTTGCAGATACTCTCGCGCCAGTATCAGACCTCCGCACTCTGCGGGGGCTGCCTTACTCAGCTTGTCAAGTGTTTGTCGGTGATGGCAGGAGTCTGATCGTTTCCCTACTACCCTAGCTGACCCTCTTGAAGCTTGTTTCTGGACCTGGCGTTGCGACCTTAAATGCTCCAGGGCCAGTGAGGTTATCTAAATTAAAGACTGCAGCTGATTTTGAGACGATAAAGTGGAGAGTACTGTGGCAAACAGGAGCGTGTGCGTGTGTGTCCTCCTCAGCTACCACCAGTTGTGGCCAAGTGGAAATACTGGTCCATCGGGGTCAGATCATTCCATTTCAAAAGAAGCTGAAGTTTCAGAATCTTCAAGAAACATCTTGATTCCTAAAATCTGTGCCAAATAGAATGTATCTACTAGTCAGGTTCATCCTACAAGCTTTCTGAGAATGAGACTTATGGTTCTGTGTTTTTTCCTCTGTAAAGTAGGGGGAGTGGGTTGGATATGTTTCATTCTAAAAATGGAATGAAGGAGCTGCCCCTAGGAGTGAGGTGGCTATCCTGAAGGGATTTAAGCAGAAACATGATAACCTCTTCTTATTGATCCTTCATCAGGGAGATAGAGTAAGGGTACAACAAAGGCCCCCTTTATTCCACAGTCCCCATGATTGTGGTCTATGAGTTCCATCTTTCCTGAGAGTTTCCTATCTACCACATTATGTGAATATTAATATATTTACATATCGGGACTCCACATCTGATGAGTCACTTTAAATGACCACTTTAGGTCCCACAACTGTGCAAAAACATCTTCCTATAATGTATAAGAGAGGAAACTGTCAAAAAATATTAAAAAAAACACGGTTAGAAAAAAGACTCAAAATGCACATGCCAACATACCAATAGAGTTGCATTGAGACATAATGGGTAATTTTAATATTTTTTCTCTATACTTTTTTTTAAGAGAGATTTTTACTATAAGGTGCATACTCTTGCTGGAGAGAGAGAGACAGACAGAAAGTGAGAAATCACCCCACATGTGGGATGGCCATGCTGCAGTCCTTTCTCCTCCACTATCCTATTGGGAATTTGGGCACACATGCACACACGCCTGGTGTGAGTTTAAAGCTGTTGGGTCTGGGACTCGAAGGATGGTTGGCCATATGGGAGTCCACCAGCATAAATCCTATTGGGAATTTGGGCACACATGCACACACGCCTGGTGTGAGTTTAAAGCTGGTGGGTCTGGGACTCGAAGGATGGTTGGCCATGTGGGAGTCCACCAGCATAACCATTGCGCCATCTGCTGGCCCCTCTTTATACTTTTTTAATATGGTAAATATACATTTTATAATATAAAATTTACTATTTTAGCTAATTTTTTTCCTTTTTTTTTTGGAGGGAGAGGTTTTTGCTGTAGGGTACATGCGCTCGCCAGAAAGAGAGAAACAGAGAGACAGAAAGTGGGAAATCACCCCCCCCCCCCCAGGGGGAATGGCCATACTGCAATCCCTTCTCCATTCTCCTCTCGGGATCCTGGGCTCGCACACACCCATCCCCGGCATGAGTTTAAGCCACCAGGTCCAGGACTCAAACCGCGGTCGACTACATGGGAATTCAGTGACATAGCCATTACGCTAACTGCTGGTCCCTATTTTATCTATTTTTAAGTGTACAGTTCAGCATTAAGTTTTGGCACTGAGTACATTCCCTTTGTTGTGCAGCCATCACCATCATCCATCCTCAGAACTTTGCCACTTGTAAACTGAAACTCTGTACCCATTAAACGATTACTCCGGCCAGGTGGTGCTGCAGTGAAATGCAGTGCACTGTGAGGCAGTCCCCACCGGGGAAGGTGCCTGGCTTAAGTGCGGAGGTCGTCCTGAGTACTCCGGACACATGCTTACCCATGATCTGGCTGGCGCTAGCTGAAGACTGGGGATACACCATGGCGTTAATGCCCTGTTGTCTCATGGAAGAAATAAACTGTCTCTCTTATGGAAGTAATAAACTTAAAAAAATAAAACAAGGGCCAGCGAGGTGGCATAGTGTTTAGGGTAGCTAAATCCCATAGGACCAACTCTACAGTTCTAGTTCTGGATCTGGCAGCTTGAAAAAAACAACACTGGGCTTGGGTGCTCAAAATCCCAAGAGGAGAATGGAGGGGAAGGGATTGCAGCATGGCCATCCTCCCACCCCCCCAGAGTGATTTCTCACCTTTCCTCTTTCTCTCTGTGTGTCTCTCTCCTGCAAACACACATGCCCTATGGCAAAAAAAAAAAAAAAAAAAAAAATGCCACCATTCTTCTCACCCAGCCCTTGGCATCCAACTTTCTACTTAAAGTCTCTATAAATTTGACTACTCTAGGAATCATATAAATAAAGAAAAACTATTCTTTTTGTGCTTGGTTTGTTTTGTTTAGCATAATGTCTTCAAGGTTTATCCATGGATTTCCTTCCTGTTAAAGCTAAATAAAATTCTATGGGGTGCATTTATGTGTGTGTTTGTGTGTGTGTACACAACTTAATACATTTTGTTTATCCATTTATTTTTTAGGGGGGCACTTAGGTTGCTTCTTCCACAGTTCAGCTATTGTGAATAATGCATTCTTCACAAATATCTGTTTGAGTTTCTGTTTTGAATCCCTTGCAGAGATATATATACCTAGAAGTGGAATTGCTCAATCATATGATAATCCTGTTTTTAATTTTTTGAAGAACTATGCTTATTTTGTATTTTTCAGATTTTCCACAATGACCATGAATTGCCTTACTAAGTTAGAAAAATGCCTTACTTTGTGCCCTCAGATTACTTCCCAATGTTGAGCTCATGGTCAGAGTGTGAATTAGAGTAGCAAATGTGAATAAATAGCCCAACTGGGGTTTGTCATTCAAGAAAATGCAATAGTGATCCCAGGGAACTTAACTCTGCCAGGGACCAGATTGTTTACCATTCACTCAGTCTTTGTCTTTGGCTCAGCATTTATCTCTGTCTCTCTCTCTCTCTCTCTCTCTCTTTTTGTTTTTTTTTTGCCTTAGGGCACATGCACTCACCTGAGAGAGAGACAGAGACAGTGAGAGGGAAAATGAGAAATCATCCCATAGGGGGAGGGCGGGCGGAGGCCACACCACAATTCCTTCTGCATTCTCCTCCCAGGAGCTTAGGCACACACGCGACCAGCATGGGTTTCAAGCCGCTGGGTCCAGGACTCAAACTCATGGTCATAAATCCAGCAACATAACTGCTATGCCATCTGCTGACCCCTCAGCACTTATCTTTTTTTTTTTTTTTTTGGAGAGGTTTTTGCTATAGGGCGCGTACGCTCACCAGACAGACAGAGAGAGACAGAGGACAGAAAGTGAGAAATCACCCCCCAGGGGGGATGACCACGCCACAATCCCTTCTCCTCCATTCTCCTCTTGGGATCCTGGGCATGCACACACACGCACCCAGCGTGTTTTAAGCCACCGGATCCAGGACGTGATCCGAGGTCGACTACATGGGAGTCCAGTGACATAGCCATTACGCTAACTGCTAGTCCCTCAGCATTTATCTTAAAGGAGCTAAGAGTTGGTACCAAGGGTTAGGAAAATGAGCGTGAGCTTCAGACCTCAATTCATTCAGACCTCTGCCACTTACCCAAACCTCCCAGAGATTTGGTTTCTCACTGCCTGTAAGATAAAAATAGTAATATAGACTTTGCAGGACTTTTAAAATTTTTAATGTGTTTTTAAGATGGAAACTCACTATAAGGCCAGACTGCGCTCAAACTCTTACTTCTCTGCCTCAGCCTCCCCAGCAACTGGGACTTGGTGAAACTGAGCAAAGATCCTCTAAAAAGACTTGGCCTAAGGTTTCCCTTTCTCTGTTAAGAGGAAAAATAGAAATTAACAGGAACTAGGTTAAGTGAGTAGTATATCATTGCTGACATTAGCTAGTAGGAAATAGTTGAGATAATAGTAAATTAAGCATTTTAGGCCATTTGGTCCAAAGCTCCCACATAAAAGTAAGATAAGATTTTGACTCAAATTCTTAAGATGTTTTACAGAATAGGGAGCATGTAAGTGGAAATTCCTGATGTATAACACACAGAACTGACTGGATGGTGCCATAAAACTTGATAGTTGTCTCCTCCAAGAATAGAAAGTGATTATTTAAAACCTAACCAATAAGAAAACCCACAAGATGATCCTGCCCTCTTGATTAATCATAGAGCTGATCAAGGACCTGAGACCCTTGCCTTTAATTCTGTCTATAAAAATACATGCCTGGGACCACAACAGTGGCTTGGAGGTGAAGGTGCTGGATCCCACATAGCCCACTGTGTAATTCAAGTCCCAGACCCAGCAGCTTGAAAATCACATGGGGTAAATGTGTGTGCATGCCCAAAATCCTGAGAAGAGATTGGAGAAGGAGAGATCACAGTGTGGCCATCTCCCCGGGGGTGACTTCTCACTCTCCCCACCCCTGGCAAGTACATGCACCCTATAGCAAATAGCAAAAACTAAAACAAACAAGAAGGCCCACGCACACCTGTGGGCCTTCAAGGAGACTGGTGTTTCAGCACTAGCTGTCTGCTTTCCTTAATTTGTGCATTGCCGTAAAGCCAGATTTCCTCTCACCATATTGCTGGGATGGCGTTTTGGCTTTGTGGTGCCAGGCCAGCTGATCCAGTTTGTATTTGGTAACACAAGTACGCCCTACTGTGCTACTTCGCATGTTTAAATGAAGATCATAGGGACTGCCCCTATAGCCTAGTGGTTAAGAGACCCAGATCCCACATTGCCGCAATTCAATTCCTGGCCCTGAGGCCTTGAAAAATACACTGTGTGCCTGTGTGTCTGTGTGTG